AATAACAAAAAAAAAAGAAAGACACCCAAGGAGGGTGACGTCATCAGGTTGATCACACTCTCTCCTTGTTCCCGGCGACCGCTTTGTTCTCGTCACCGAGCTCGACGTTATGTCTCTACAAGAGTCGGTCTACAGTGATTCTTCATGCTGGTAGCAACTACATTGCATGCTAAATTTCTCGTAATGACTGTCACAACACAACTTCGTATTCTCTCGCACGATCTCCTGGGCCCTCTTGTCCTCCTATTCCTCGACAGATTATGCCAACAAATTTCTCCGGCTTCTCTCAGTGCGACACATGGGAGGTTTCAAAGAGTTTAACTCAACTGATATCTTTCATGTACGTATCCTATGTAGCGTCAGGCCATCTATCCCATTTTTGTATGATCACGACTCATTAGTCGGGCCGTTTCGTCTCTGTGCTGTCCTGGGTGAAGCTCGGAAACAATGCTGGATGATGAGTTTATCGCTCGAGGCTTCCCAATACACTGTACGATAGGGTACAAGCTTAGAAGGTCGCCGCGGTTGTCTGTGTCTCAATCCTCCAGATTGACGATGTTGGCATTTGGGCCTTCGGGCTCCTCGTTACCTGTACTCTAGATCGTTCATGGACACCATATGGACACCTTTGCTCGACGGCTACGCACTCTATATACAAAAATGTTGGTCCTATGCGTTTACTCTTGACCTCCGTCACCTCTATCTGTGCGCACTGCACGCGCTCGCTGACTTGGCGCAGGTCTTATGACTGGGATCACGATGCCTAGCCGTGCGAGGATAAATTCTACCACCTCATTCACCGCAGTATTTACCCCTCAAAATGCCCCAATGTCTACCACCCTATCCTATGTACCTTCCACAGTCCTTCAAAACTCCGATGGATCATCCACAGGCTCTCCTTGACCGTGCGACCACTGGTCGTGGTCAAGTGGGGCGCCGATGTTTCCCAATACTCGACCTTCGGTGGATGTATCGGCAAATACCATAGTGGAGAGGTGAGGGTTGGGAAATAATTCCTCAGAGTCGTACATACGGAGGTTGAGAACCAGTCTGTTGACGAGCATGTTCGGGGCACTACGATGCACCCACGGACGTGCCATGAAGTAGGATATTAGTATCATCTTGAGACATAAAAAGGCTTTTAAAAGGAAATATACTTACTAGTTGTAGTAAACGTCGACGACTCCACCCAATGCTATCATATAGTCGGATGTTTGGAGTTGTGGCTATCGTAGAAAATGAGTATATAAAAGGATGCATGGCGTTCAGCGAAGTTATGACATTCACCATCTGTACAATCAGGTTGATCACTCTCACTCCGAAGATGAGCCTATGCGATACTTTAGTTCAATACTTGTGGCCGTGGTGAACGAGAAGGCTCAACAGGAAGTACAGAACACCTAAAAGGGTGGGCATATGTTACCAGTCTTTGGTCAAGGTCAACACGAAAGCAGTTTGCTTACCGTCTCGCACAATGACCTGAGTAATACTAGCTCTCTTCAGCCGATGCATCTCAACGACGTGACAGTACGCTCGGTTGAGTGTCAGCACGAGGACAAATGTATCGAAAAATAGGGCGATCGCGATGGAGGAGATCTCCACTTCGGAGATAATTGTAAGCAACATCTCGATTCTCCGGAATTATGTGGGTGGGTAAACGTCCAAATAAAGGCTGACGTCTATCAGATAGGGGAAAGAATTAGTAACTACATTAGTGAAGCCAGAGCACATATTAAGAATCTGCATACCTGGAGATGACAGCAGGCTGCCCAATATACTCGCAGCTGTTGTTAGATATGCTCCTCTCGAGTGCATCATCAGACACCGATGCATTTGATGCTTCCGTCAGAGTCTGATTATGATGCAAATATCAGCTTCATCCTATGGCCCGAGTATTGAGCGCACCCAAAAATCAATGCCCATACGTGCCAGCACAGGTATGGTGGCGACTATGAGTATCCATCGCTTACGTGCGTGGATAGCATATACGCGCATGGCGAATAAGGCTGTATTATTCAGATACAAAGATATGTTGGTATCAGAATTGTGTGACAGGGCCCAAGAAGGAGAGTTTGCGAACTGCTAGTAGATGCGACGGTCACCATTCCGCAAGCGTACTGTACATGACTCATGATATTACAGCTACCAAAGATGAGGTTTGCAAGGGGGATTCAACGCTTATACTAAGCTTCTATGCGTTAAATATTGAGAGATACGACTCACCTGTCACGGCTGGCACTTTGTGGAGTATCGAGATAAAGGTCCGCAATGACAGAGAGGACCAGCATATAGCGATTGAAGAGAAAAATTACTGATACTCCCGTTAATGGTCTGCACCAGATTGCTTGTACCTCCATCGAGAACGTCTGTATATAATCATATATCACTAGAACTTGTAAGAAAGGTTAGACCTGTACTTTGACAAAATAGTGCCTGAGCGAGCATCACCTAATGCAGATATAGAGATCTCAGAGACTATATGTCTACACCATGAGATGTCAAATAAAATAAAATAATGTCGACCGAGAAGAATGCATACTCCAAGTATAATGCGGAAATGCTGACTGCGGTCGACATGAGAGCAATCTGTTGGTCCCTCTAGAGAGCTGGCGAGTATCTGGTTTATATGTGTCATGCTAAATCGGAGAATCAGGGTACATAATTGGTGAAACTCCTGCTTGATCAACAGCTAAGCGAATGAAGAACGAAAATCAAATATCTTCGCAGACAGCTTGGCTAACGATTGAATCAAGATCATGATATCGGGATGTGAGAACTGTTTGCAGAGAATATGTTGGAATTTGACGCTCTCCGAGAGCTCGGTCGAAGGAACTCGAACGTCCTCTGTGTGATTGAGCACATTGGAACCGTGACCAGAGCTCGCATCCCAATCGACGGAGATGTTGAATACAAATCGCTACATATATGCCTTATGCAGTACATAAAGGGGTGACTACTGAGAAGTACTGAGATCGAGATCCCAATCAAAATCACAACATCAAAAGTTGGAGATGAAGTATCTGTTTGTATACGTTACACAGTCGGGTCGAGCCAGCATCTACTCCGAGTGGACAGATAAGTGTTCAATGTGCGGGTATCACGAGATGACCGTTGATGGGATGTCAAGATCCTGTTCCACCAGCACACGAAACTGAAAATAAGGCCAAAATACGAATAAATCTCAGAAAAACATATGCTACGTAGAAAGAAGATCTCAGGGGGCGTAAGGCATACAGACGTGAGCGTCAGCATATGGTGAAGAGTTCACATTCACTACTCTCTCAGTTCAATCGGGACCAGCCTAGTGAAGTCAACAATCTGAAACATGGCTGTTGAGCACAGAATGAGGGTAAAGGATCCGCAGGCGATGCAACGAAACATCCAGTCGACATAAATCATGGACCACAGCCAGGCCAAGCTTTGGATTGTGCGGAGATAAGACCCTGTGCAGAAGCCTCGCTCACGTTGAATATGAACGGCTGAAGATGGACGCGTTGTGTAGGGGGTGAGACAGATCAGTATGAAACCGGAGTAAGTTGTGTGATATTTAAGGACGTTCGCAGATGAACGGCCCAGCTCGAACTGGAGCCGAGCCGCGCGCCCCTTGCGGTCCATTTGTGTACTCTGGCACAGCCAAAGATCCACGCAATTTCCCTCCTCCCAGCACAGTGAACGGACACACGTCCAGCTAAGGGTTCTAAATGGAGACCCGAACCTATAGCTTCTGTGAAGATCGACATGGACTGTTCGGTGGGGCGTAGTAAGCGCCATATCCAATATATATACAATAGCCAACGCTGGCTGAACACCCACACAGGCACAAACAACACGTCAACAACTACAGCACAAAACAACGGGGCGTGATCGTTTCCCCAAAAAGAGACGTGCATGTCTTCTCCAAAACAGCTCACAGGTTTTACCGAACGAAACAAAATAGAAGATGTCGCAAACTTAGAGCGAACGCATCAGCGCCTACCGCGAGACTCGAACTCGCAGCCTTCAGATTTTAAAGCGCTCCAATGGTTCCACCCCCCAATGCACAACAAGCGGCCGGTTTGAGGCGGCAAGTCGGCTTGATGGGCAAGGACTGTTCCCGTTTGGGAAGATCAAGTCGGTGGAGTGGTTATGGCTGATGTATGTCTGACGCTCTATCCGATTGAGCTAGGTGGGCTTGAGATGGTTTGGGAACAGACAATAGAAGAGATAGTGAACGAGGAGAGAACAAAGGAAAAGGACACGTGGTTGGCCATGGCTGGAAAGAGGCCGAGTGGCGTCGGAGGATCCGGAAAGTCCGAGACCGACAAAAGGTTTGGGGGAGCAGAGCAGCAGTAAGAAGCGGAGAGTACGGTCACGTGTTATCATTCCAGGAGTTGAATCATGACCGTTTATATACCAGGTAAGGACCTCCGCGAAGCTCTGTATCCCATGGTGCGGGATGAGGACCGACGTGAGCGCTGTGTCCGGGTCGTCGACTAATCGTCGACACTGAACATAGTAGATGATAACGATTTGTTCAGCTATAAGATCGTCCGGTTTCAGGAGTAGAAAAGACAGAAGATAGTGTGAGTAACTCGTCGACAACGAGCATGAGCGTTGGAAAAACGAACGCGTGGCTCCTAACCACTTCGGGTGTTTCCGCAATGTGGCACCTCATTCTTATCGCCCAAGGCTCCCTCGCTCGTGCTGCGAACGCGCTCTAACAGGGATGGTGATCAGTTTATTGGACACAGTATGTAGCACTAGATAAATAGAAGTAAAGAAAAAGACAGACAGAAAGGGGAACGTTCGGATACGGGGAATCGAACCCCGAGCTGCCGTGATGTTTGTACACAGTAAAGCTAGGAGTCCCGATTGTGAGAGGCGGCAATGTTAGCCGTTACACCATATCCGATGCCGAGTTAAGCTCCCACCGTTTTCATCCGATGCCGTCCTGCAGCACCTTGAGGAAATGATTCCTAACTGAAGCTGAAGTGCTGAAGGGTGATGTAGAGTGATGAACGACGCTAACGGAAACCAATGAATCAGTCAACGTTCTGACACCGAGGGCTAAGTACACTCAGAATACGAATCGTTCCTCTAAGTTTCAGATAAACCGATCGAGAAGGGAACAAGTACGAGGACGAAGTCAACCCTCGTGTTCGTAGATCGGTACGTGTGAGAGCTTGGATGGTACCCAGATTTGGGCACGGGTGAGGCGAGTTCGGTGAGAAAGGCTAGAGCAAGCGTCAATAAGGAGAGTCGGACAAGACAATACCGCAGATTTTCTGGTCCATATGCGCATCATTCATTGAGATATCACCGTGTGCAGTCAGCGTGTCGCGCACGCATAAGAACAAGCAGAGAACGGGCGCCAGTGTTTTCATCAAAGTTGGACTCGTCCGAGAGGAGTGTGTGGGACCAATGACAAGAATGCCCAGAGATTGAACAGACTGCAGCACCCATATCGAAAGCTATTCACCAAGTCGGGCAACCGTGAACATGAGCCCTCGTCATGGTCGGGAAGAATGGACGACAAAAGGCGCTGTGGCGTTCGACGTTCATATCAAAGCGGAGCTCAAAATACCCCGACGCACTCGGGGCTCGGAGCTCACACGTGGTCTCTTTCCGCTCCGTTCGTTCTCTGGGTTCTTCCTCCGTCGGCTCTGGCTCTCGCCGAATTTGCTGCTAACCGTGTCGTAGACAACTGCAGGATACTTGACGTCGTCCTCAACGACGACAACGTCCACCCAGCAGTACGCAAGGAACGAGATGAATACAGGACGACGTTATCACCCGGCGGCTGTCTATCAATAGCCATGCTCGTCCTTATCCCATCAAGAAGCTTTCACCGGGCTTCGACAGCTGCTGGGCCACATTACCACTCCCATCTGCGCTCCTTATCTTCCCATTGGCATAAGTTACTCGGTGCGAATAGGGATGACGATAGGAATCTTTATGGTTTATATATCCTTGTGGGTGAGGAACGATCAGGGCTGCCGAGTGTCTTTTCCCGCCTCCTCATCAGCTTCTTCATCGCTCCTCTTGCTCCTCTTGCTCCTCAGGCTCGCACTTTGTTCTCCGTCCTCTTGTCTTCTTCTACGACGACCACTAGGAAGACTCACTAGCCCTCACCGAACGGGGAATCCAAGTTCCGTTCCCCCTCCAACCCACACATATCATCTATCAACCCCCTTGCCTAGTGCTAGCAATAATGGCGACAGACTACACCACGAAGAACTACGACATCGAGAAGAAGGCCTCCGCGCACGTTACGTCCGTGTTGCCTGTAGGTGAAGTAGAAGTGGTTGCGGACCATTCGTTGGGGGAGGACGAAGCGACGTTGGTTGCTCTTGGGTGAGCACTTTTTCTTCATATTTTTTGATTCTTTCGTCAGAGGTGAGAGGTGTGAGGGGAGTGAGGCTATGGGATGGAAAGTTGGAATGATGGCGGTGGGGCGGCATAGACGCGCGGCTGTGGTGGTCGCGTGAGGAATGATGAGTGCGAGCGGAGAGGTGGCGTAGCGGTCGCCACCCGCTTCCTTGTGCAGCCAAATGTGGTCTGCGGAAATGGGATTACGTATCTCAGCGCACTGCAAACATACGCATCATTCCTCCCGAGCGAAAAATATAACGCATATATCGACTTCTTTGCTATCTTCCTTGCTCCTCTTCACTGTTAGGGGCAACAATAATGCTTCGACTGGATCTGGCATGCGGTCGAGCCTTAGGGCCTTACACAGACATCCGCTTGACTTTTCTCTCTTTCTTTGCACTGATCTTCCCTTCGCACCAATGCATACTAACCCCCAATAACACATACGTCCAGGTACAAACAAGAGTTCCGCCGCGAGTTCTCCATGTTCACCTCCTTCGGTGTTTCGTTCTCCGTGCTTGGACTGTTGCCCTCCATCGCTACGACGCTGTGGTATGGAATGGGATATGCGGGAACTGCGGGTATGGTTTGGGGGTACGTCCGTTCTAGACCTTTTTTGATCTCCTGTTCTCGGTTTCGAATATCATCACGCGCCACACGCCACACGCAGTCTACTCGAAATCCCAAATCGCGTCCACTTCGGTAGTCCTGTTCATCGAGCACCTCGTCCGTCCCCACTACCCCACACTCCATCCCCTTCCCAGTGATTTCCATCTGATCTTGCGTTACATATCTCCTTTGACCTCGTCTCCTCTATCATCGTTCCTCTCTACCCACAGCACTATGAGCCCTCTCCACTTACGCATGACCCTCGAGCCGCCCCATCCATACATTATCATCTTCGACTCCCTCCGTATTATCTTGATTTCACACAATCTCTGTCTCTCCCTGCTATTTGCGCCACATGACGTAGGGAGCTAACGTTTGTTCTCTTGGTGGGGTGTTTAGGTGGTTGATCGCGATGGTGGGGATCCAATGTGTGGCTATGAGCATGGCCGAGCTGGCTTCTTCGATGCCTAGTACGTTTGCTTCTATCTCCTCCCTCTCCCTCGCCTCCGTCATCATTCCATTCCTCCTTCCCTTGTCCTCCCTCTGTCGTCCTCCGTCGTTCTCTTTTTCGTTCCCGTCGTTCCTCTTCTTATTCTACCCATCAATCCTCCCTTTCTTCTCTTTTTCTGTCCCTGCTGTCCCTTATCCTCCCCTCGTCCTTCCTGGTCCTCCCCTCTTTCTTTCCCTCGTGTTCTCCCCCTCTTCATTAGTCCCTCTTTTCTCCGCTTTCCTAACCGTCCCTTATCTTCCCCTCGGCCTTCCTCGTTACTTTCTCAGATATCCTCATGTATGCATATGATTCCGAGCTGATCACCTATCCGTCTGCTAGCATCCGGTGGTCTATATTACGCCGCTGCCATCCTCGCGCCGGAAGGTTGGGGCCCGTTAGCGTCGTGGATCACTGGCTGGTAAGTCTTGCTCTCGTTCCTCCCTTTCGTTCTCTTTCCGCCGTACGATTACAGTGTTGAAATCATGTAACGCATATATTGATCTTGTGTCGCGCAGGTCGAATTGGATCGGTCAGGTCACGGGCGCTCCGTCGGTCGATTATGGATGTGCTGTAAGTTTTGTCCGATTTCTTCCTAGTCGCGCATACATCGTGCTAAACTACTCGATATGATACAGGCCATGATGTACGTCTACCACACACTCTCGCTCTCGAAATAGCTAACTAACCTGCGTCACCCCTCCTCCGCCCTACCCCACCCTACCCCACCCACCCAGCCTCGCCGCAGCCTCAGTCTACAACCCGTCCTACGTCCCGACAAACTACCAAACCTTCCTCCTCACCGTCCTCCTCCTCCTCGTCCACGGCGCCATCTCCTCCCTCCCCACGCGCCATATAGCTATTTTCAACTCGGTGTCGACCTGGTTGAATATGGGGTTCTTGATCATAGTGTTGGTTATTATTCCGAGTGCGACTACGAATCGGTGGGTGATTTCACGAAGGGGGAGAAGGAGAAGGAGAATGAAAGGGTTCGTGCTGATGAGAACGTTTATGTAGGGATCCGAGGTTTAATCCGAGTAGTGAGGTCTGGGGAACGATTTCGGTACGTCCACAGCCTTCCCTTCCCTTCACCTCCCCCCTCCTTTCCGACTCTCCAGCCGTCTATTTCTCCTTCAACTCTATTCACCCCCGCGCTCATCCATCCAGAACGAGACCGAATGGCCCAACGGGATCGCCATCCTCATGTCCTTCATCTCCGTCATCTGGACGATGTCGGGCTACGACGCCCCGTTCCATCTCTCCGAAGAATGTTCGAACGCGGCGATCGCGAGTCCGAGGGCTATCGTGTTGACGGCGGAGACGGGAGGACTGTTGGGGTGGTTCTTGATGCTTGGTGTGTACTCGCTGCCTCTTGTCATCTTTGAGTTTGAGCGCGGTAGCACGGTGCTGACGACGGGATGACATGGATAGTGATCGCGTATACTGTGCGCGATATACCGGCGGTGATAGGTTCTGAGCTCGGTCAGCCGTTCGTGGCGTATTGTTTGCAGGTGTTGCCGCAGAAGACGGCGATGGCTGTCGTGGCGATGACGATCGTGTGCAGGTATGTGTTCTCGTTTCATACCCAAGTACAGGAGCTGACTATATCGCGCATAGTTTCTTCATGTACGTGCATTCTTTTCTTGTGTCACGTTCCATGGAAAGTTTGTAAAACTGACCCCTCCCGAATGCGTGATATGTGGCGTATAGGGGTCAAGGATGTATGGTCGCCGCATGTACGTCAGCTCATTCCACTCTCCCTACTCTCTATCCAGCCATCCTCAACCTAACCTCCTGTCCCAGCCCGCGTAACCTACGCCTACGGCCGCGACGGCGTCTTCCCCCTCTCCTGGATCCCCGGCACCGTCAACAAGTACACCCAAACGCCCGTCAACGCCGTCTGGATGAACACATCCATCGGGATCCTCCTCCTCCTGCTCATCTACGGCGGCTCGCTCGCCATCTCCGCCATCTTCTCCATCGGCGCTATCGGCGCCTACGTCGCGTTCACTTTGCCCGTCGCATTGCGGACGTTCGTCGTGGGGAACAGATTCCGCCCGGGTCCGTGGAATTTGGGGAGGTGGAGTAGGTTGAGTGGGACGGTCGCGACGGCGTTTACGTTGTTGATGATGCCCGTGCTTTGTTTTCCGACGGTGAGGGGGGCGGATTTGAATGCGCAGACGATGAATTGGACGGTTGTGGTTTGGGGGGGACCGATGTTTTTGGCGATGGTGTGGTGGGTCGTGGATGCGCGGTGAGTACACATTTGTTCGTTTGGGAGCTTTTCCGAACCTTTCTGATGGAAACTTTGCGCTATAGTGAATGGTTCAAGGGACCTAAGGTTCGTTTCATCGCCCCTCTTCGTCCTCACCTTCACCTTTGTAACTCACCACCAAACCCTTCCTTCTCGTAGATCAACGTCGAGCACCAGATGCTCGCCCGACCAGCTGACGACGCCGCACAGGCACCTTCACGTTCGTCGTCGGAGTCGTCCCCTGCGAAGGGGGCTTAGGTCTCGTTGTCGGTGCCGTTCTCGTCAGCGGGCTGGGTATAGGTATTAGTATGCAATGCAGTTGAGTGTCCGCAGGGTGTTAGTGTTGTATTGATGTCTAGATTGGAGGGGGGTGGGGTGTCGGGTGTGTATATAGAACTTACTTTCTTGGTTGTATTATCGATTTCTTTCTTTGTTTGTTGTTGCTCTGTGCGGAGTATTTTATCACTCACGAGAAAAGAACAGCAGTGGTGGGTTATTGTACGAGAAGATTACATGCGCATAGGTTGACTCTGCGGAACTGTGTCCTCCGGTTCTCGTCCTGGTGGCTTCGAGATCTTTTTCGCCGTGAGCGTTGGAATTGGAATTAGGAGAGGGCTGGTTGTGGGATTTGTAGGTCCGATGTTGTTGGCTGTGATTTGGTGGGTTGTGGACGCACGGTGATTACCCCTCTGTTCGAATGGCTGAAATCGGTGGCTGACGATCATTGAGCGCCCACAGTAAATGGTTCGGAGGACCCAGGGTTCGGCTCACGACCCACCTACTCCCCCTCGCCTGTTTTCCATCAACTAATAACTCACCCCTGTCTTCTTCCTCGCAGATCAGCGTCGAGCACAAGATGTTCTCCCGCGCAGACGCGGCGGCGGCGGCGGCTCGGGATTGTTTAATTCGTGTTCGCCGCCTGAGGACTCTCCTGCGAAGCGCGCTTAAACGTTTCGTGCTTAGTCGAGTCGACATTAACGATGGGCGGGCACGGGGTCGTAGATGGCGTTGGGTATATGGTGTGTTGTTGGATCGCGTTCTATATGAAGGGAGTGGTGGGTGATGTGTAATACGGTACGTTCGTGGTGTGTGTGTATTTCTTGGCTATATTATCGTTTTTTGCTTCGCCGCTGGTTCTATTCACGGGAGTTTTTTCCATCACCAAAGGCTATGTAGCGTACAAGAAGAACCTACGCACCACGGATAGGATCTTACGCTAGGACACGCAGTAAGGGTTATGTGTCTGGCGATGGTCTACCTGGAGATTTAGACTCTGCTGACCGTGTTGTCGCACTTCTCTGTGACGGCGTCGCGATCTATAGCCTCATTTCCCATTATCAACGCTGGAGATTGAGCGTCCAACCGAGTGATCCACATACATGATCTGAAAAAGACCACGCCACGCTCTAGTGACAGACCTGGATGATACCAAGAGATTATAAGTGAAGACACATCCGAGCTGAAAATATGTCACAGAAAGCGTGGCTAGAGTCGGGGACGAACATCCTTCCCCCGTGAAAATGATGGTCCGTTTGAGTTGCTTGAGGAGGTGGTATGTTGAGATTGACAGTCGTTCTTCGCAATCGGAGATGGTCGATATCAAGAGGTGTTTAGCGAATATTCCACACCCTCCTACACCACGTACATTATTGAAGCATACCCGGCTTCTCGCCACAGAGATCTTCGACCATCTAAACTACAGGAACGCCACCATGCTTCGCAAGCCTTGAGAAGACAAGAGACTCGAGTAATGTAAATCAAACTAGGCGGGGGTGCGAGCAACGAGAGAACGAATGGGGGCATATAGCACATGTCTGAAGACATGTTGTTTGAGCATGCGAATGGCATCTGACTTGTTTTCCCCGTCTACGAGCCCGCGAATCACGTCTATGTCGAGCTGTGTCATGTCTGTCCTCAGCTTGAACCGATTTTCTCGGTCTGCACGGATGGTATTGTTCAAGTATCTTTAGAAAGAAAAATCACATCAGGACCAGTACCGGGCGAGGAGAAACAGAGGGTGGTGTAGACAAGATGAACGAACTGAATAGCTACATCCTTGTTCATCGGCGCCTCAGCTTCTCCTTCGGGCGTGAGATAGTCATACATGGGCGACGAGCGGGCGTAGTTGAGTGCACGTTCCGTGAGCGGGATGCAGCAGTTCCACGAAAGTGGGCTCCTGCTGCACATGAACTGGATGAAAAATAGTTTAGTGCCCTTCGAACACTTTGCAGAACATTTCCGCCATATATCCAGTCTCAGCCCCGTCAAGACCTCGCTCTCTGTATTTTTTGCGGCACCAGTGACTTGCACCATTCCCTCTATCTTCTTGGACAGATCAGGCTCTGACTCCACGATAGCGAAGAAGTCGTGGATGTCAGACGGTTCGACGGAGAGGTAGACGTGGATCATAGGAGGGTTGTCGTCGCAGTAATTCTCGAACATGTCGAACGCGAAAGCAGCGTAGACTCGGAGCCACATAGAGGTGTATAGGTTGTTGGTGATGGATTCAATGAACTGGGTCATTCCTGGACCTTCGACCTTGTGACAATTCGGCTTGTGCTTGGGCCTTTTGAAGATAATCTCAGCATCGGACTGACAACACATACGGGTTATAAAAGTGAGGCGACCTACCAATCTTTCAGCTGGCACTGGGCGGGGGAAGAAGTCAAACACATGTCAGCCACATGAATTTATCGGGAAAAAAGATCGCATAGCGTACTTCTTTTGAGCAGTACCACGGCCCCTTGCACTACACGAAAAGATTCCACGGTTAGCTGACATCGGGAACATCAGTGTGGCTGAGTGGAAAGAAGGACTTACCCTAGAGCACCTCTTCATGGTCATTCCTTCTTCGAGATAGTGGTCTAGAGTAGAACAGCCAGAACACATAACGGTTGGGACCCCAGCTTCTTTGTCGAGAGGCATCAACGGGAACGAGCCAACGAGGTCCTCATTGAGATCCAATGTCGCTCGAGTGAGATCGGAAGGGTCGACGTTCTGAAGCAATTCCCCGGAAGACATATTGCAGAGCAAGAAAGGGATTCAAACAACGATTGAGAGACAGGTGAATGGACTTTGCTGCGAGGAGAGAGAGAGAGAGATGAAGGAGAGAAGGAAGTAGCGGATGGGCCGTCGAGTTGAGCCACTTGCTGGCGGCAATCGCCGTGTCTTGTCTTGTGTCAAAGTGGCACTGTGTCACATGATCCCCCAAATGTGGCCCTGTGCTCCTTGGAGGTGAAACTCTGCCATCCGTTTGAGAAATAGCAATAATAATATGGCATTGATTGACCATCATCGCACCTGTATCGTGCTTTTATCTCTATTAGAAATTTATGTCTTTTGTAGGTGTATTTCCGGCCTCTCCTCCCCATTGGTCTCGAACCAGCTCGAACCTTCCTCTCGCAGCTCTTCGTAATCCGTCATAACTGGCACTAACAGCACAATCATCTCGGAGCCTCTGTCCCCTCCCTTTGTTCTTCTTCCCATGCCTCCCATCGAAATACTCGTCGCATCCGATATTCCCTTCGAGCCCTTCATCAGAAAAACCGAATTTTATGCTCGGATGGCGAACGGCTATCGAGAATGCCCACGAACTGCCCAAGCGGGCGTGCCTATATTGGGACTGTGAGATAACTGGATTCTTCGAACATTCCCCATCGTTCGGGGACGAACGAGCGAGTGGACCTAGATTTTGCGGCCGATAACTTGAGATTTTCACGATGAGAGCTCAGGTTGGATTTTCTAATAATGCGAGCGCACTCAAGAATCTCGCGATACACCGTGCTTTAAACAACGCGAGTCCACTAATACTAACGGATGTCAACCCGTACGACGATCTCCCACACGTCCATAATCTGAGCTAAATCATGGATACACTCTAAGTGTCGAACAAGGGAGCTCATGAATCGGGTAACAAAAAAATATCGAGTCATAACGGACGTGCGCGGAGTCGGTATGGCCGTGAGGCCTAAATGAGCGTTGTTTTTGCCCTCTGGAGAGGTAAATATTAAGGCCAATCATGGAGCTTCGTTTAGATTGGCGGAGAGTGGCTGCGACGGAAAAAGACAAATGTTACTGCGGTGAACTTGGTACTGTAGCCTGTAACGATAAATCAATATCTCTCCTTCATCCAGAACAGCCCAGAGATGCTGGCCCTCGAGGCGCCCAGTCCAGGCATAAACGTACCCACGAATATCCCGAGGGTTTGAAAGAGGGGCAGGATGGTGACAGTTAGCAGATGGGAAGTCAAGCTGATTTATCCACCGTGATACGTCGTACGAGCTTATTGATGAATCCCAGTATGCAAACGGATAAAGAACACAACCGCAATCGGTCCTAGCTAGCCGCAGAAATCATCTGAATGGTTGTGGTGTGCTTGTCTGGGCACACTACATGGGAGTCAAACAAAGGCGGCTATATTGTGTCAATGAACAATCTACGGGCTACGAGGAGCCCAGAGGCAGAAATGTCGACATGAGGCCCACTGCGGCGAACCTGGTAAGTAGCCTCGAACGATAAATCAAACTAACCATCTGACACTCAACCTCCGAAATTCATCCAGAACATTCCAGAGACGAAACAGCCTGACTCGCGAGTTTTGATGCATACAAAGATGGAATGGACTGCCTCGCGCCTCCTCGCGCTATGTACATACATACACATCCAAGAATCAAGGCGTCGTCGCTCGTAGTGTGTAGCGCCTCTAGGCCCAGGCAGACGTACGAAGGCTCCAGAGAGTGCGCTCAGGGACAGAAATTGCGAGCTGACTGGAGAAGGACAGGAGGCAACGGAGGGAACGGAAGAGCAGGGAGGAAGAGGAGCAGGACTTACCGCCCACTAGTCTATGAAGCCAAGCGGCGTAATATAGGCCGTTAGAGGCTGCGGTACGAGCGTGGTCAGACAAAGGAATAGTCAGCTCGGAGTTATACACATACAAGATGAGGGAAGGGGAGGGGGTATGATGAAGAGGAGAGGAAAGGGGCGTAAAATTCAGACGGAAGGGGTGCTCGACAAACAGGCTACGAAACGGAGTGAGATCTGGGATTCGGAATAGACTGCATGTGGCGTGTGGCGCATGACGATGACAGAAACCAAGAAGAATACAAAAACAGCCTGAAACGACGTACCCCCAATCCATACCCGCAGTCCCCGCATATCCTATTCCATACCACAGCGTGGTCGCGATCGAGAGCAGCAATCCAGGAACGGAGAACGAGACGCCAAAAGAGGTGAACATGGAGAATTCACGGCGGGACTCTTGTTTGTACCTGGATGTATGTGTTAGAGGGGAGAGAGGGTGTATTAGTATGCGTTGGTGGGAGGGGGTGATAGTTTTGAAAGAATAAAATAAAAATTCAAGCTACTGTCCGTGTGTAAGGATTACTTATAGTCATGTTCCAGGATGGCACTGAGCTATGGCTCGAGTACGTGCTAGGACGCTTTGCACATCCAGATCACGAACAGAGGATATATGCGTTATATCGTTCGCTCGGGAGGAATGACGCGTATATATGCAGTACGAAGCTGCCTTTCCGGAGACCACAAGAAAGCGGGCGGAGACGACTACGCCACCTCCCAACTCCTCGCACTCATCATTCCTCACACGACGTCCACCATCACCAACACCACGCGTCTATATAGCTCCACCGCCATCATTCCAACCTTCCATCCCCACGCCCTCTCTCCCCTCACACCTCTCACCTCTGACGAGAGAATGAAAAGAGATGAAGAAGCACTCACACAAGAGCAACCAACGTCGCCTCGTCCTCCCCCAACGCATGGTCCGCAACGACCTCTACCTGATCCGCGGGCAGCACAGAAGTAACGTGTGCGGAGGCCTCCTTCTCGATGTCATAGTTCTTCGTCGTGTAGTCTGTGCCCATTATCGCTAGGACTGACGTGCGATAAGCAAGGGGGCTGATACGAGGTGGAGGTGGAGGGAGGACGGACCTTGTGGTCACCGTTCGGGGAGGGAGAGCCTAAGCTTAAGTGACTTCGTAGTCGTAGTCGTCGTCGTAGAGGAAGAACAAGAGGACGAATACCAAGGTGCAAAGTTCAAGCAGCAAGAGGAGCAAGAGGAGCGCTGAAGAAGCTCGAGCGAAGAGTGGGCGGGAAAAGCACATTCCTATCGTCATCCCTATTCACACCTGGGAATGCACACACGATAAGGAGCGCAGGATGGTAATGTGGCCCAGCAGCTGTCGAAGCCCGGTGAAAGCTTCTTGATGGGAAAAGGATTCAGATGCAGATGAGGGAGGCTATTGCTAGACAGCCGCCCGGTGATAACGTCGTCTGATACTCCAGCATTGGCTTTGGATTGAAGTTGAGTGAACCTTGTCATCGTCGCGGTCGACGTCGAGTATGCTCTCGCTCTCTACGGTCCAGTTGGCAGCAAGAGAGAGCCAGCGGAGGAGAAGACGGAACGGAACCAGACCACGTGTGAGCTCCAGCCCGTCGGAGCATTTTGAGCTCCGCTTTGAACGCCACAGCGCCCTTTGTCACGGTCGTGCATTCTTCCCAACCATGACAAGGACTCAGCTTTACGCTCGTTCCATACGGTACGAGTGGATATTTCAGCTGGGTCGGTCTCTGGGAATTCTCATGTGATGAACGGACCACAAAATAGCCCTGCGATCTTGCTGAACCTCACGTCGACGACTCTCATCGGGCGGCCACTGGCATACTGGTGTGTACTAGTAGGCGACTTGTTTACTTGTCCGGCACTTTCTTCACAGACTCGAATCTTGGCGGTACACTTGTTTATATTCGTGCACGATGCCTTGACCACTGGCAAGTGGGCGTCTCAGCAGATGGTCCACAACGTCTATAGTTCTGCGACTTTTTCTTGTTCGAGTGTCACTTTTTGTGTCCGCAGCTAGACGACATTCCAAAACTGCCACAGTATGTGTTTTGCTCCACCCTATCGAACTGAACTCGACTCCTCCTTGCCCAATTCCGCGGACTCGTCCAGCTCGCACTCACCTGCCCAGGAATGCTAGGGTTGTCTTCGTCTTCTCCCTCGTTCCTGCTTCTGTCTAATTATCCTGCTCGTAATACGTGACACGTCAAGTTCTCGTATGGCTGGGCCTTTCAGAAAGAGCTTCACTCGGAGATGTGTCCTATGTTACGCTCAGTGTAGCGTTAACCCATACTAGCTATGGGTACGTCCTTCGCACACGCATGTGCCGATCGATGATTTCAAAACTCTAGGAAATACTACCCTCAAGCCAAAGTATCCGAATAGTACTGTGAAGGTATCATCGGATATGCTGTAACGGCTAACATTGCCGCCTCTCATCCCCGCCAAATTTGAAAGCATATCAGGATCGCGGCAGCTCGGGGTCCGATTCCCTGTATCCGAATAACCGCTCATATTCGCGTCTTTTTATCGTTTTATTTCGTCTGATATATCTAATGCTTCGTATCGTATGAGGTGAACTGTTCGCTGTTTGCGCGGAGCGAGGGGTACTTGGGGCACAAGCCGATACATTGACGAGGCGTCACATTGTGCAAAAACTCGAAGAGTCGGGCAGAGTCGGCTCGTGCTTCTTCGAGTCAGATGTGAGCTCGAAGCGTTCGTATTCCCAACGCTCATGGACGTTCTCGATGAGCTACTCATTCTCTACCTTCGGTTTTTCTTTTTACTCCGGACATATCGTCTCAAAGCTCATCGAATCGTGGGCATCGACTATGTTCAGTGTCGACAACCTGGAGACAGCGCTCACGTCGGTACTCGTCCTGCACCATGGGATGCAGAGCTTCGCCGTCGTGTTTTACACTGGTATATGAACGGCCGTGATTCTACTCTTGGAATGATAAGACGTGTCGGTACTCTTCGCTTCTTGATGCTCCTCTGCTCCCCAAACCTTTTGTCTGTCCCCTCTTTCCAACCAGCCACGTGTACCTTTCCTTTTTTTCCCTCTTCGGTCACCATCTCTTCCATTGTCTGCTCCCAAGCCATCTCCACCCCACCTAGCTCAATTGGATAGAGCGCCAGACATACATCAGCCATAACCACTCCACCGACTTATCTGCCCAAACGGGAACAATTGTCCTTGCCCATCAAGCCGACTTGCCGCCTCAAACCGGCCGCTTGTTATGCATTGGGGGGTGGAACCAATGGAGCGCTTTAAAATATGAAGGTTGCGAGTTGAAGTCTCGCGGTGGGCTGTGACACGTCCACTTATTCTTTTATTTCGTTGGGTGAAACCTGTGAGCTGTTTTGGAGAGGATATCTCCGTCTCTTTTTCGGGAAACGATCATGGTGCGTTGTTTAGTGTTGCGGGCGGTCGAAGTATAGTTTTGAGGAGATGTGGGGATTATGCAAGCACTGGCTACTATCTGCATTACGGATATGATGATTACCACTGCTCGGTAGACGGTTTATGTCAATATTGGCAGAAGCTCGGGTTCGGTTCTTCATGTCGCGCCCTTAATCGGAAGTATTTGGTTTGAGCCGAGCCACTCTCATGCGAAGAGGGAACCTGCATGAAGTCATGACCACGCTGGAGCACCTCGAATAGACCGCGTGTAGAGGTACGAGTTGTTCGAGCTGGGCCGTCCATCTGAGAACATCCATAGACATCCAACAGATCACTCCGGTTTCCCACTTATCTGTCTCACCCCGTACGCAGTGCGCCCATATTCAACCGTTTATCTTTACCGTGTATCAGGCTTCCGTGCGGGCTCTTGTCTCTGCACAATCTGACGCTTAGCCTGGATGTGGTCGAATACAGAACGGAGGGCATAAAGACGGTTGTTCACAGGAGATTATATTTTCAGCCGGACAAGAGGGAGGGGGCCACTTCACAATGTTAGCTTCGATATGTCATCTTCGTCTCATATCCTTGTTGCACTGCTCCGTTGCTTATTTTGTTTGATTCCAGGCAGCGTTCAACTCGGTCCAAGAGTTACAGCCATGCTCTCTCGACATCTCCGCAACGCATCGAGATCCACAAATGTGTTGTACTAAATTCATAATAATTATTCTCATTCACAGCACTGATGATGATCATCTTCCACCGCCCACGAGTCCCCTTGAACTTCCACGCGCAACTGTGACATCTATCCTTCCACAGGCTCATGTTCTTACTTTTCACCGACGTCTCCTCGCGGCGTGCAGAGTCATTTGGGATCGCTTCGCAGCTCACCTCGAGATTTTCCGTATACGCAAGGACGATATTACCAGCTTAACTTTACTGGTCTCAGTCATGCTACTGCGTTGATGGCCAATACTCGAGAACGGAACGGAAGACATGCTTAAGGAAACAGTAAAAAGCTATGGTTCGAATTGCGTTAGAGCCTGAGAGTGGCCGAGTGTCGTGGTTAGAGAAAATTTACAATTAATAGCGAGGAGGAACGTATGGAGGGAGCTGGCCGTGCTGTATTTGGTTCATGCTCCGGATACGTGTCTGGTTAGTTTAGGAGTGATCATAGGGAGTGAGGATGGATCTCTATACTACTATGTCTCCACGGTATGCAGGTGATTTTATATGGTGCCGATCCTTGACTGTTCTGAAGACTTGTTTTGCTCTCAATAAATTCATTTGAATATGCATGTTACGTTGCACGACTAGATTCCAAAACCAGCAGATGAATTGAAAGCTATCAATAGGTACACTCTAAAAGACTGTGCTCGGTAACAAATAAACTGACCGGGGACAATCCAAGCAAAGTGCATACAGTGTAATATATGTAGCAGCAAAGAACAAGCAATCACAAAAACAAACACCAAGATCCTTAGGACGTAGTCTTTTTGTCCACAACAACAAGTGTCGTTGCACTGACAAGACAAAGTGATGAGTATTACATATTATAGTGCAGCACCCTGAGGCGACATAGCGCGAGGAGCATAGCATTTGGCCCAGTTGGCTCCATGTGCAAAATGTTGGAAGTTCAGAGAAATGTGAGGTGTAGTGCTGATCACAACCCGCATACGAGGCCACATCAAACATTTGCGATATTCTGGAGGTATCCACAAAATTAGTTCCTGAGTACTAGGCGCTATAAGCCAGCCATCGGAACCCAGTCTGATTTCCTTGGTCCATAAGTCACGTTCAGGTAGATGATGGTCTTGGTGAGGACAGAAGGAGAGAAAATGAGGAATTTGTGTGTCCCAGATGTGAATGGTCTTGTCATCCGAGCCGGACACGATGCGCTCCCCGTTTGGAGAGAACACGACGGAGGTGACCACATCTTCATGCCCTCGAAGAGGCTCGCCAATGGACAGGCCCGTCTCTGCATCCCAGAAGCGGATGGTCTCGTCATTGGAGCCGGACACGATGCGCTCCCCGTTTGGAGAGAACACGACGGAGTTGACCCAACCTTCATGCCCTCGAAGAGGCTCGCCAATGGACAGGCTCGTCTCTGCATCCCAGAAGCGGATGGTCTCGTCATTGGAGCCGGACACGATGCGCTCCCCGTTTGGACGAGAACGCGACGGATTGACCCAACCTTCATGCCCTCGAAGAGGCTCGCCAATGGACAGGCTCGTCTCTGCATCCCAGATGCGGATGGTCTCGTCATTGGAGCCGGACACGATGCGCTCCCCGTTTGGAGAGAACGCGACGGAGTTGACCCAACCTTCATGCC